ACAAGCACCAGAGAGAGCAGCTAGTGCTGGGAATCAATCCCACTCCTCTAAAAGGTGTGCTACAGCTGCCCAAGAGGGAACTGGAAAGGAGGGGTCCAGCATTTTTTCACATGGATCGTATTCCAGGGGGAAATGTAACAGAAATCACAGAAGCGTGGAAGGGTTTGGGTTGGAAGGGACCCCAGGGGTCATCTGGATCATGGGCAGGGACACCTCCCACCAGCCCAGGTTGCTCCAAGCCCCGTCCAACCTGGCCTTGGACACTTCCAGGGATGGGGCAGCCACAGCTTCTCTGGGCAACCTGTGCCAGGGCCTCCCCACCCTCCCAGGGAGGGGTTTGCTAATATGTAATCTCAGTCTACCCTCCTGCAGTTTAAGGCCATTCCCCTTCGTCCTATCAGCCTGTCCAAGTGTCACCAAAGGCACCAAGTTGGTGCAAGAGAATTTGCCATTTCAATTAATTATTGTTGATGACACAGATGAATTTTAGCACAGTAATTGAGACCTGGGCAATTACAGAATGAAGAAGAGGTTTGAGTGTGTTACCTGCACACTGAATAGAGGGTCTGCACGTGGGTAGTGACCAGCACTTGTATATGTTGGTCAGCAGGAGGCTCTCAGGGTCAAAGAGGGGTATTTCACTCAGCTGACAAATCAAGGAAGAGCCATTTAATCCTCCTTCTAGAATCTAGTTTCTTGCAGTACCGTGAAAAGTTTCAAGAGATATTAATCCCAGCTTGTATTGGCAACATAACATGAGGATAATTTAATTTCCTGCTGTATGACAGTTAAAAATCAACATTTCGATTTCTAAGAAATTCAAATTAATGGTTCTGAAGTGGGGCTGAGATGAACACTTCCTAATGCTTTAAAACAGCTTAGATTTGAGCCCAGACTGAGGAACTGGCCTTACCTCTATATGAGGACAACCTACCACCCCAAAACATGTAAGGACTGGCCAGCTGTGTATCTCAAACTAAGTTTATTGGCTCATAAAATTCCTCCTTAGCAAAACCACCAAGCAATATTTTCTTTAAAAGTCTTTTGCAGTAACAGCTGCCTGACATGAACTAGCTTGAAATAACAGACATACAAACCAAGAGGAGGATTCAAAACACAACATACAAAACGGTTTCATAACTTAATACTCACTGCTGGAGTGAAGTCATTACCAACACCACACGTGCTCACTGTATCACACCCAGAGGCTGTGGCACCTTCACACCCAGCAGTTAGATGTAATTTTTCTCAGACTCACTTTGGTGAGTTGGTGAGTACCCTGAGGGGTTAAGTATCTTTCCTAAAACATCTGAAAGCTGCAAGTGCTTACATCTCTCTGGTATGTGGGTGGGATGCCCAGTGCCAGTGCTGCTGTGCACCACTGATCACTCCAACTCACCTGAGCTCTGATTACCAGCCCACAGTCCTGTGGTTTTCCTCCTGTACCTGGGTCTTTGTTGCTCCTGTGGCTGCCCAGTCAGAACTGCTGGCACAGCTCCAGTGACTAATTCTCTCATGACTCCCCAGAATATCATGGATGTGTCCATAAGGAGCATGCTTTCAGAAAACATGCACAGATTGCTAGTTCCTTGCAAAATGCACCTGCACCTGAGGGCACCAGAATGGCCAAAATGCACCTGCACCCCCAGTAACACCCACTATTGCATTGTTTTGAAAAAATTACAAACTGGCAAACTTCAGGTGCAGCCAAGTGGCACTCTGATGAGAAACAGCCCATCACATAAAGTGTCCTCATCCCCTCATCACCCACTCAGTTACTTTCTGCCACTTACAAATGATGGAGCCACCTGGCTACTCTCACATCATTCCACTGTCCTCTTGTCACCGTGACATCCTCCTCCTCCTCCTCAGGTATTTCTGTCACATCTGGGAAGGTATTGAGATGAGGGACCTGGCAGTGCATAACATCCCATTCCACTCTGTGCAGCTTGTATAAAACACTTAGATCTTCCCATACTGAAACAGCTCCAAGTGTATGGAGATTTTGGGGTGCATTTGGATTTTTTACTTTGTCGATGAATGATACTGTCTGCCACAACCAGCTCTTGACAATGTTTGGCCAAAGAGAAAAACTGGCTGTATGAAAATAATCAATATTGAAACTGCTTCAGGGTACCCCTAGAAATACGTATTTATTGAAGTCTGAAGTAGCTTAGGAAAAAAAAACAACAAAATTATGGCAGAAAAATTCTTCCATCTCTGAGTCAAGAATCACTCAAAGCTGTGCAGAGGTTTTATTCTTTGCCTGCCTTGCTCTGTCTTCCACAGATACCTGTGATTTCGTGCTCTGTGTCTGCAGTGCATAATTAAGTACCAAGCCCAAATCCCCATACTGGGGAAACACAACAAAGGGCCAAGGAGGAGCAACTTAAATTCTCCTGTCTCAAACCTCACAGCAGAAATTCATGTATATATGAGCCAAAGGAGAAAAGCTAACCTGAAGAATAACTGCTACAAATGCATTAGTGTATCTGTCCCTGGAAGAAAGGAGGGGAGAAAGTTTGCACTGCAGCAGTGCCACTGGCTCATTAGCAAGCAGAATTAATGAAGGTGTCCTCACCACTCCACTGCAGGGAAATCAGCAAGCAGAGAGGCACTCCCAGCTCATCCTACACGTCTAGCTTGTTTTATTTCTCTGCAGAGTGCTGCACATGGCACAAGATATCCTACTGATGCACTGAAGAAGAAGGTCTCCACCCCACCCCAAGGGCTTCTTCCCCTCCTCCCCCCCTGGAATGCTGTCATTCTGTGCATATTCAGTGTAATATCAATACCAGGAGGAAGAAATGCCCAGTCTAGGAACCAGTCTGCTGTGATTCAGAAAGAGGTGAACATCATTACAGGAGGTTAAAAAATAACCCACATTTGTAAAGCTCAACATTTATTAATGACTTGTTTTCTTTGGGGAAGAGATTAATTGATGTTTGCCCTCGGAAGACACACGAAGAAAATTTGTCCCCGAGAGAATGCACGCAGAAATTTAGCTTCAAAAACCCAGCTGCATGCACTGCACGAGAAGAGATAGGAAGTGACTGCCTCTTGCCTTCCCAAGAAATGTCACTACTCTTGGTAGCAACTGCAATGTGACAGCTGAAGTGATGAAGAAGCATCCTGCAGCATTTTCACTGTCATTCTCCTGAGCAGGGGCTCGTGCCGCACGCTGAACTGTGATACCTCAGTCATCTGCTGAGTTCAGTCCTCTGTCCCCAGGTCTCTCAGGTGCAGACTTTGATGGAGCAAGTCACTGCTCCCAGCTGCTCCATATACAGAGCCATTAATACAGAAGCCCTCTCAGGACCAATCACTTCAGTTAATTGTTATGATGGGTCTCTCTAATTCATGCGGGGTTGTTTGTAATGTGTCATTGCATCACTCGAATTATTCAGGGAAAAGAATGATGAGTGGTTTGTATCCCAGTGAATAGCAAATACTGCTATTCTTATGTCAGTCTTAGGTTTGGGCTTTGTCTTAGTGACAAGCCTATTTGATGACAATAAAGGAGGGGGAATGGAAGGAAATGGCCAAGGAGAGAATCTTTGTTTTCTGTCCCTCATTCCAGTCTCCCTGGAATGTGAGGAGTAGCACTTAACAAAGAGGAGGCACTTAGAGCAATAGACTGATAAAGCAGCAATGTCTTTGTGATAAACTGCTTTTCTGCTCATCTGGAAAGTCCAGTTTTTCTCACACTTACTAATATGATGAAGATCAGATGTCCAAAAGTATCACCGATTTGATGAGTCTGTGCTCAGTTTGATTAAGTGAATTTAGGAGCCACTTGAATCAGGAGATGATCAACAACAGTTGTGGAACCTGTTCAAGCACAACTCAGTACTCGGCTCTGTGTGTTTTAGCCAGGATAGGAGCTCACCCACACATTTCCCCAGAGACTTGTCCAGGAATTTGGGAATGGAAATAGCAGGACAGCTGGTACTGCTTCTGGTTTTTTTCTGGTTTATTCTCCATTCTCTAGAGTAAAAAAAAAGAGTCACCTAAAGCAGAGGAGCAAGCCTCTACTCTGCCTGTACTTCCAAATGACCAGCTGAGGACAAACCTGACTTTCCCAACTCCTGTTTCTGTTCACAGATGATGTAAGAGCTCATCACCTCACTATGTCCAAACCTACTGTGTTAGGGGGCAGAACTGGAAAGCAAGTGTCAAGTGGTTTACCTGAAGTACTGTGCACATAAGATTTCACTTCCTTCCATGCTGCTTCTGACCTGAAGAGCCTTAAAATGTAGAGCCATGCTGCTTTAGCTTTCAATCTGCTGACAAATTTAATCATCAAGGTACAGATTGGCTTTTGAGTACACAGAATGAGATTACAGTCGAGAAACCAGTTTTCAACATTCAAATGAAATTTAAGTTTCAAACTGGCTCTACAGCCAACTGGCAGCCCTGAGCTGCCTCAGCTCAGATCCATCCTGCACTGAGATTCCTCAGAAATCTCAGAATATGGGTTTGCAGAGTCAGCTGCCAGGAGACTGGCTGGTGTTAGAGATGGACATGATCTGATTTCAGGTGGGAACACTGTGGAAAAAGAAATTGCAGGACTGGGCTCCTGACACACACAGTTTCACATGAGAAAATAGTAAGAGGATAAAAAAATGTAATATAACACCCACCTCTCAAGTCAAAACGAAGCATCAGGAAGCAGTGGGAAGGTTTCCCTTTATATTCTCTCTACCACAGTGTAAATCAGCTACTAAGGACAAGGTGGTCAGTGAAGTTACTCTACAGGAGGAGACAGGGGCATATCACAGCCCATAAGCCTTTTCCAGCTCAGAAGCACCACAAAGAGAGCAAAACCTCCTCCACAAGCATGATTCAGGCTAGTGAGCAGAAATCCCAACTACCTGCTGTCAAAAACTGGGGGCAGCACTCTCCAGCATCCCAGAAGGTACACACTTGCTGTAAGTCAAACAAATGAGGCACACACAGAGAAAAATAAAAGCAAAAAGAGACAGAAGGAGATAACTCACAGCAATGAGCTGGTAGGAGTTGTTCATCATGGCTATGAGCATGTTCAGCAGCACAACAAGGGAGATGACGTTGTAGGTCCCAAACATGGTGGCCCCAACAAACTCTGTGAACTCATGCCTGGCTTTCACGTTGGTGACATAGAGGTTCAGCAGACCAAACACAGACCAGAAGAGTGACTGGAGGGTCTCGAAAAGTCTGCAAAGAAAAAGATCTTTACTTGGCTACCTGATGCTGGGGGATGGAAAACAGCTCCTGGTTCAGGCAGTCTTCAGGTAGGGACCACAGATATTGGGAGACATCAGAGAGCAGCCACTCAGTACAACCATTTATCCTCCCTGGGCACAGTCTGTGCTCCAGCCACACTGACCCACTGGCCAGTGCATGTGGGAATTGTGTCACATCAACAACATTTGTGACCTGTGCAAGAGCCCTGTCCGTGTCCTTGTGAGATGCAACCAGCCTAACTCTCCCAAGGAAACCCAAGGCTCCCTTTCCCTCTAATTAAAACTGCCATGCTGAGATACTGCTGTTATCTGTAAACTCTCCTGTTTAATCACTGCCTGCATCATTAACATGTCTGCAGGATGCCTGTTCAGGGAACCCATCCCCACGTACAGCATGACCATGGTAGTTAAATAGTGCATAACAATGAGGCACCACGAGGTGAGAGATATGAGAAATCACATCCACTTGCACCTTTTGCTCTAATAAAGGCTGAGAGCTGGCAATTGCTTCAGCTGTTACGACCCAGCCTGTTTGCAGTGCACCTGCCCAAAAGCACTGCTCACCCTGGCAGGTTGGTGCAGCAGCTCCCACCCATCCAGGGCAGAGCCCTGGGCAGGACCTGCCACCCCTGATCAGCAACGACATCACAGTCACTCAGCTCAACAGCTTTTTCTTCTTTTGAAGTCTTTCTCTCCAGAGATGAACTAGACCCAACCTCACTGTGCTGATGAGATCATACCAGGTCTCTCTTTGCTTCAGCCACAGACAAGTGACCTTTTGCAATCACGTCAGATACGTAAGCAGCAATCTAAATAATTGCTCTATTTGAGCATCTTTCTTTTGGCTTTCCAAAACATGACGTTTATATCATCCAAAAATGACATTTATATGCCAGTTTAAGCGTTTCCATTTTGGCCTGAGGTCAGCAGATATTTTCAAATGCAACAACTAGACAAATCAATACAAATAACTCAGATACTTTACTTGACATACCAGGAATCTGTTCTTCCAGCATTTCCAGGCACCTGTTCACATGTACCCCCATGCCTTACATGAGGATTTAGTTTCTCTGTACTTTGTGGATGTATCTTATGTTTTTCACTGGCCAAAATCATAAAGACTCTTTAAAGCAAAAATTCTTTCTTTCAAAAGTCGTCGGGCTGTTTGGTACATTTATTAAATAAAAATAACTGAGGTGGTAAAATAAGGATTAACCACAGAATGCTAAACTTTTCTCTACTAAAAATGATGGAGTGCTAGCTGTCTTTCAAAATATTTATAATATTTTTACTATTAGGATTAGAAGTACTGCTTGGGCTGTAGGCTCACGGGAGGCAGAGGCTCCTGTCATTAAAGTGAAATCAGTCCTAGATGTGACCAATGAATTGATCAATGAATATATATATATATATATAAACACTAATATATATATAATGTATATATGTATAATGTATAATTCGGGCCCAGACTAGGGCTAACATATTTACATGTGGACATGTGGTCCCCCTTGAAAAAGACACATGCTGGTTCCTGCAGCTCTGCACAGCAGTAAGGCTTGGTTACTCTTTCCTTAGTGTTTAATGACAGGACAGATCCACAGTCTCTTTTTACAGTACGTGTTTCAGGTGGCACTCACACTACTCTGGGAAGCAGCTTTAAAAAAAAATGGAATTTTGGAAATAGTGATTGAGAGACTGTCCCGTCCTGCTGAGTGTATTTTTACCTTAACCAAACAGGAGAATTCTCAAAGCTCCACCACTCTCCATGGCAGCTGAGAGAAAGCAAGTGCCCCCCTCTGCCACAGGAACCTGCACTCCAGGGGAAATGGCCCCAGTGAGGACACAGCAGGCAGCAAGGTGTGACTTCCTGCACCCCTTCTTCCTCTTCCTCACTCTCTTCTTCCTCCTTCAGTTGCCAGCATCACAGCTATGAACATATTTTCCAATCCTCTGCCTAAGCAGCAGGCACTCTGCTGAGGGATGGCAGGGCCAAAGCAGAAAACCTTAAATTATTCATGACTTCCTCTTGTTGCTGTCACAAAGGAATATTACTTTTCCATGATCTGTGTTTGAAACGCAGAAAACTTCCTCACAAGAAAATATTAAGCCCACCCCTTTGAGAGTAATAGGAAATAATGAGCCAGTAAATAGGTGTCACACTTGACACAAGCTGTGCACACACAAGGGACATCCTCTTTCCTTCCCTGGTAAAACCAGAGCTTATTGTGTGACTGCCTAGGAATGCTGGTGGGAATCAAAGGGCACTCACTGAAAGCTTTTTACATTTATTCCTTCCTTAGGAATGAACTGTGAGCAAACCTGGGGTACCACCAGCCCTGGCTGAACTGGCTCCAGCCAGGTTTGCTTTGCCCCAGCTCAGCAGGGTTTGGATCTGCAAGCTGCTCCTTCCCAGCCACTCAGCCCATGCTGTGCATTTGCTCACAGCCACATGTTAGCTCGTACTGGGGGTGTTAATAACGACTATTTAAACTTTCAAGAACACGTTGAATAAATTTCTTAAGCGAGTCTCAAACAAAAAGTACCTGCAGAGTGTTCTGTCCCCTGCCAGGAGACCTCACTCCTAATGGATCCCCTCCCACTGAGATTTTGTTTTACACAAACCTTTGCCACAAAGGCTGAGCCCCCTCAATTTCCTTTCTGTGCTACATTCCCCTTGGCAGGGGGGTTAAATGAATGTTAGGGTAGGAAAATTGTGGTCTGTATTTAAGCTGATCTGCACACTTTCTGCTAATTCTGTATCATTTCTAGCTCCCAAGACATTACACCTTGCAGACTTGAGGATGGTTGTTTTTTTGAGTCAAATCCTGCTGTTGTTTTCCACTAATCTGATACAATGAAATCTGTAAAACAACTGGCTTGCAATGGTGACAAGTCCAAACCAGAATGCTCAACTGAAGGCATCTGTTCACTGTAGTTCCAGGGAAAGGCAGGATTTGGTCCTGAACTTTGTGGGTTTGACCCTTTCTGAGGCAGAAGTTGCCCCTTAACACACACTGTGCTTGTCAAACCTTCTTCCCTCTGCTGCATCCATATGGACATAGATCAAGGAATATTGCTTGTTATTTAATTCCTTTGCCTGGGCAGCACAACATATTTCTGGGGCATGCAAAGCAATTAAACAGAAAAAAAGACCGAAATCTTTAATTCTGTTTCTCATTAGCTCCGTGCAGCTTCGTCCACTTCCTCCAGATAGACAAGGGAAAATTGAGAAAACTGAGAAAATTAATCAGGCCTTTGGTGGTCCTGCTCTGCAGTGGAAAATGGCACGTGCCTGATCTACCTGTTCTAAGGTCATGATGCTCTTGAAGGCATGAAAATCCCACACTTCTTTAAGGAGGGAGCCTACAGGACAATGCTGGAGTCTTTTCTCTCCCAACAGAGTCATGTGGCCTCAGCCATCATCTGTTTTTGATAACAGTGCAAATATGTCCCAAATCCTTTCTTAACCCCAAGCCTTCAGCTGACAGAGGGTGGAGAATTATCGGGCATCATGACAAGTTTCATTTAATTTAGCATAAAATGGTGGACAACAGTTTTGTTTTGCTTGTTTGTAGGGCATGGGCCTTTTTCTAGACTGTGCTTTATTTATTTCTCTTCCCATTGTGAGTTAAGTACTGTGCAAGCAGCAAGAACAATTGGGTGGGGGCTGATTATTATAATTATTTCTACTATTAGTAATTAAAACAAATACATCAGAAAGACAATTCATGTTATTTTTCAGCATGTGCTATCTCTTTCAGCTCAGCCAGCTGTCCTCACAGCAATTTCCATGCCAACATCTCAGTAAAGTACCAGCATTCCCAGCAAAAAGGGTTTTGCTGGGATTTTAGTCTCAGCCCACTGCAAGGAAATCAGAGAAGCCTGCAATGTCATGGACATGTAAAAATGGTCTAGGTGAGACTGTTGTTTTTGCTGTATGACATTATTTATTAATACCTTTCTTTATTAGGTTTATCCCTTGTTTTCTACATTTTGTTCAGCTTTGCCTCCTTTCCTCCAGAATTAGACAAAAAAATTACTGTGGCAAAAGGATACTTGCTTTCCCAAATATACTGAACTTGTACATAGTCATAATAAGGTTTAAGTTGCAGGATCATGTAGGGAGACTCCTTGGTCCAGAATTAAAACTACTGTCTCCCACTTCCAGACCTAAGTAAGAGTCTTTCTGACAGCAGAGCTCAGCAGAATGTCTGCCCCAGTTAACTCACACCTTTCCTGCAGAGTCAAACCCCTCTCCTGGTATTTGCAGATGAATAAATAAAGGCACTTTCAGTGCAGTGACAGACAACAGGCAAAAGCAGGTAATGTAGGGGACAGTGGAAGTCAGTCTTAAAAACAGAAAGGAAAGAATATCTTACGTGGAGAAGGCATTGTTCTGTTTCTCACATCGGATCCCCTTGCAGTTGTTGGGTTCCTCCGAGGCACTGGTCTCATAATAAAAATAAAGCTGGTTCAGTCCATTTGCAAAAGCCAGAAGCACCAGACAGTAGATAAAAAGGAATTTAAGGATGTCCAGCAGCATGCGTCCCAGAGAGATCTGCAAGGGTCCCAGGTGGGAATTGGCTGTAAAAAGGGATATGAGACGCAAGGAACTTAAAATGTTGGATATTGCAAAGAGGGCTTCTGCAATGAGGGTCGGGTGCCACATTTCCCATTCCTCCCTGGGACGGGAACCATTATACTGAAAGAAAGAACAAGAAAGAAAAGTGAATTATGTTGCAATTACTCAGAGACAACTCAAAAAGCCACACCTGCTAATAACAAACCCTTCATGGGTAAATCCTAACCAGCACTGGTGACACAAGAAGTACTTCTAAACTTGTATGTCTCAGCTACTGTCAGAGTAACATTCGGGATTCAGGATTGAAGCTGACTTGATCAGGGCAGAGACTTTGGTTTAATGATGCCTTCTCATGAACTGCCTTCTAGATTATGACCCCCTGACAGAGTGAGATATGGGCTTCAGACATGATGGCCGTTCTTAGCCTAAATTTAGAAATTCGAGATTTTTTAAAATTTTCTGAATTTTGAGTTCGCTGTATGTGGGTTTGTTAGGTCCATGAGTTCATAAATAATCTCCTTCTCTTTCAGCATTTAAAGGGGTTCAGATTTCAGCAGGATCCAGAGAGAAATTCGCAATTACTTTTTTTCTTTTGCCTCCTAAATATGACTGCACACTCAAAACACTGCACATTCTAGGAACAGTGTGAGGGAGGGAGAAGGGAGGGAAGGAGGAAAGCAATGAGCTATCAGATGCTTTCGTTCCCCAGTAATCTCAGAAAAAAATAAAAGTGCCAACAGCCCAGAACCAAAATGCTTTCTTCGTATTAATTTTCTTATTAGTTAATTTGTCATGGCAATTTTAGGAGAGCGCTAAACCAGAGGTCTTAATTACAGCTGAAACACTGAGTGCATCAACCATAACATTAACTGGGTTTGTAATGTAACTGTAAAAGCAGGAGCATTTTCTGAGCAAAGTGCATCCAGATGCAAGTAGGCAACACAAAAGAGCTGGTTCTGTAAATGTAACTGCTCTGGTTTAACTACACTGGCACCAGATACTGGAGTCAAAGACATTCAATATCAAGGAACAATTGTCCTTTTAATATTTTTTTCTGCTCATTTAATGTGTATAACAAAATCTACTTAGAATAATAGAGCTCATAGTGTAGCCAGTGTGTTTAGGACCCCTAAAATAATTTTTGTACCTTTTAAAAGGAAATACTGCCAATATCACACTGCCAGTCAAGATTTCAGGGACTTTCTATTTAAATCTGAAGGTTCAATATATGCTCCCGATTTTTTCAGGGACGTAGCTAAAAGCAAGTTGATATTTCAGACTAATCCTCTGTATGAAGGAGATGAGACATGAGACAAAGGCATTTCAGCATGACCTCGGATTGCTTCTGACATTTCCAAACTGTTCTTTATTACGTGAACACCATGGCCTGAGCCCGTTAGCTTGATTTAAGATGGGTCTTAAAATGTTTACAAACAGGCAGGCATGTTAACTTTTTGTGGCTATCCAGCAGCAGAGGTGGGTGGTTGGGATCAGGAAGCCTAGACAGCAGATTTGCAGAGTTATTCCCAATTCTCTTCTGCAGCCTGGCTGGACACAGCAGCCCAGGGGCTCTCTGCTAGGGTTTAGCACAGACTGCACATAAAGGTATGTGAAAAGGTCTTCTGTGCCTCATACCTATTTTTAAAGCAACTTGTTAGGGTCATATTTTGCCCCTTTATAAACTGATGGTATATCCTTCCTTGGAAAATAGTCTCTTCATAGCAGCCTGGCCTCACAGGTAACAGTGAAATCTGCTGTTTCATTAGGGTTATTTAATAAAGCTGGGTATCTGGGAAGGCTGGAGTTACCTAGCTTAGTGTCTATTCAGAAGATTAAACACAGCAGAGATGTACACAGAATAGTACAAATAAATTACATCAGGCTGTTACATTTACCATTCCTCATTACATGACAAATCAATGCAGCAAATGAAAACTGATTAAGAAGGTATTTCTACCCTATAATTAACCTGAAGATTTAATTGGTATTGGACAATATTAGAGCCAGGTCTCGGAACCAGATAAATCAAGAAAAAAAAACTCTTCACGTAAAAACAAGGATGGAAAACATTAATGTCAGTGTGCAATTTAGTTTTTCTGATATTTGGCAGAAAGTTAAATGTCCATGTAATCCTCTGAAGATCTCAGAAGCGTTAGAATATGGTATATTGGCATATATCCCAACCTTTTCCAGCTCAGGGCTGTTCTATAAACAACAAGTCGTGTCGCAAAATGGTTTGAAGCCATTATCAAAGTTATAAATCCTCATGTTTCAGAGCATACTGCAACCCCTAAGTGACACAGGTCAGAAGGGAACTTCTGTGGCCATCTGTTTCAGAAGTGATCCTGTAGCAGATTTTATGGACCTCTCAGAATTGTCTGACATGGATCCTCACTGGGCGCTGACCTTAGACCAGCCAGGTTTAATCCAAGAGGGTCTGATCTCTGCTCAAATAGATATATTCCTGCTAACCTTCTTTTGTGTGCTGGCATATAGGTCTTTGTAGTTAACCTGCAAGTTTCTGTAGTTCTTACAGAGTAAACAAACAAAGCTGTATATCCTTTGTGCCTGTGGTTTGGCTGTGAGTTTAAATCTTATTATGTGGCTGTATAAATCCAAGGATACACAGCTCCTCTAGTAATTTGTGTGTGAGAAAGAACAAGACCGTTAACATTTTAAGATTTGTTCCTGAATGTTACAATTTCCATCATTTTTTTGTTTTGTTTGCTGTTTAAAGACCAACCTTTCAAGTCTGTAATTTCCTCACCGGTTCTGAATAAAAGAATTGAGTTGGGAGAATAAAAGACATAATCTGTTCCTGCTTTGATGCTGTTACAGAGCTGCCTCTTCAGGGAGCACCACCAGCTTAAAGCTTTTCCCTTTGAAAACATGACTCACCAAGACACAACCTTCAGGATTTTACAAAGGCCCCATAGCAGGGCTGTTTGCATTTTGGAGTCAATGGGCTTTATGCAATTTTCTCCTCTTTCCCTCCCTGCTTGCATACATGCTGGGCAGGACTAAACAAGGTTGCTTTGGGGAAGGGCTTGTCCTGATTACTGGGAGCTTGGCTACGAGAAGTAGTGCCCTTCTACCAGGGCAAAACCAACACAGTAGCACAGCAAAACTAGAAAGGGTGTGAGTGGCCCAGGAGCAGAATCCAGTTGCTTGATTTACACCTGAGTAATTACACTGACTGCAGTGCAGCTGCTGCTGATTCACACTGAGGAAAGAATCAGGCCAAGCAGGAAGCTCAGCTGAAGCCAAAGAGAGCTATTGCATAAGGAATTTTACAGGATGCCATTTGTGTCTCATGTTTGAAAAAGGGAGACAGAAGGAAAGTGCTTCAGGCCACCCTCTGGCTTCAAACCACATGCATATGCTAATTTGGAGCATCAGAAGTTTATAAATGTGGAAGGTGCTTTTGAGGATGAGTTCTGATGTGCACTCCTAGCACAAATGGAACATGACAGAGAAGAATCTACGGGATGTTAAAGCCCCAGCTTGCTCCTTTGTCATTTCCCTGCCAATAATTTATGTATTGAAGAGTAAGTTGACTCCTTTTTATCAGATAGAAGCCTCCTACTAACCATCTTGCTTTTCTCAGTAGACCTTTCACAAACTTCTGATTAGTAATCTACAGATCTGGAGGACTACAGATTATAAATCTTGCCTGTAGCTTTTTCAGATAACCCTATTCTTGGTTTTCCATTTTGTTTAAAAATCATGTTTTCACTATGTCTAACATGGTTGAAGGAGGCCTAGTGTCAGTATGGAACATGAACAGCTTTGGCAACTGAGCAGCTACAAAAGGGACAGAAAGTGGGGAATTTCTACCCAGTGCCCAAACAATCTCCTTAATCAAAGAGGATGAGCAGGACATTCATTCTCCAAACAAATTAATAAGCTTTCCAGGTGAATTTTCCAAACTGGACTGCTTGAAAAGCAGCTATTTTCTTTGATCTGTAATTTTGATTCGTACAGTTTTTACCCTGCATACTACAGTTCCCACAAGCACATTACAAATTCTCTGTTCCAAGTTACTGTACCTTGACATAGGCAACAATTTTAAGGGAGATAGTTGCAAGATAGAGGGAGTTCATTGCAAAATCCATCAGATTCCACCAGTCATGTACATACTCATTGAATCCACCATCCCACATTTCCTTGATTTCTCCCCAGATAAAACCTGTAGAAAGAAAGGCAGAGAATTCATTGTCATGAGGAGGCATTATTTCCCATTAAAGCACTGTGCATATCTGATGTACTGCCAGACAACTGGAAACTAACAGCTTGGAAAAAATGTCTCATCCATTCTGCCTTCTACAAAGTATAGTGCTGCTGATTATGAGACATTTTACAAGTCTGTGGGGAATGTAGTCTAAAGAAAGATGAAGAAGACATTGGTTTCCTACCCAGAGCTCCAGATACACACACGAGGAGACTGCTTGAAATATGTTTATTATAACCAGTATGAGTGGATTGGCTCAGCTGAAATTTGTTCTGTGTGAATAAACTATTTTAGCAACTGTATCAGATGTTGTTTCTAATAGATTTTCTGCTCTCACAGACACTCCAAGCAATTCATTCCCCTCTTAGACACTTTTTCCTGACTTTCTCTAGCAACACTAGTACCAGCTTCTACATGCCAGTACAGTTCCTCCCTGACCTGGAAATATCACACCAAAGAAGGAAGATGTGAATTCATTCTCTCTGCTCAGTCACTGTATTTATGCATCTTGCTGAACAAAAAAGCCCACAGGGATTATTTGTGAGAAAAGGTAAGACTCAGCATGAAAAAGGGCACTGCAGCCTGGCACTGCCTCCCTTGGCAGTGACTCATGTCAGATGTGGCCAGGGGTCCTGTGAGGTGAGTATTTGTTCCCAAGGATACAGCCAGAGCCCATCATCTCAACTCTGAAATGCCTGCTGGTAACAATTTTTGGCACTTGCTAGTGCTCACTGTACCTCCTTGCAGCTGGAGGAGTGAGGGGCAGTTTCTGAAGTTCTGCTAAACTCACCTGGCATACAGTTATGATTTTAAGTAACTTGTATGTCCTTTACTGTAGATCTGTTTAAGTATTTTTGAAAGCCTAAGTCCCATTAAAGAGTAAATGGCAGTTAGGCTCCTTCAACCTCTACATGCTTCTGAGAATGTCTTTAGAGCCCCAGGTATTTTTGAATTACCCAGTTTCCAATATTATCCTTGAATGAAGACCTGAAACATGTGTGAAAAGACAAAAAAACCCGAAAACAAAACAAAAAACCAACAACCAACCAAACATAAAATCCCCCCCCCCAAAATACACCTCCAGGTTATTACTAATATAGTTTCTCAAACTGCTGCCCCTACCTAACCACAAGATACTGCAGTGGTCACTGATATGCTACTTGCAACTCAACTTTAAGGAGCTGAAAGTTCAATTTAAGAGCAAGTAAAATTGAAATGAGCTGCTGCACACCCCCAAATATCAATCTGAGCTGTTCAGCTGCCAGCCAGCAGGTCAGCAGTCAGACAAGCATAATGTCAAGGCCAGTAAGGTAATCTTATTACAGCTGCCTCCATGTCTTTGTATGAACACAAAACAATAAAATAAAATAAATCAGTGAAAAGGATCCTGTTGAAGAACTCATACACTGTATTTATAGTGAGTTATCATTGCTGGTTACTATAGTTACAGCAATGCTGTGTGTGTCTGTTCTCTCTCCTTTTATAGTGGAAAATATTTCGTAAATAATAACTTTTAATCTGGTGAAACTGTTCTAATTTCTCCATTTAATAAACAGTCCTACAATATCTGTATTTATCAGAAACAAAGGAACTCAAGAAGAGGAGGCAGGTGTAAGATGTGCTTTTTTTTAATGGATTATCCTTCTTTCATCTGCAAATCAATTTTGTTGACATGCCTGCCATTTCCCTCAATTTTAAGCACAAATTTAAGGTGATCACCTAAGCTCAGGGAAGACATTTAACTTCCTCAGCTTATTCTGAAGTTTCTACCAACGTCTGCATTCAAATGCCATCAATCAGTTTGATCAGACAGTGAGGCTGAGGGTAGAGTGTGAAAGGAGTACAGTGCCCTGGGTCACCACCCCAAGTGATTTGGGAACATCCTACTTTCCTTCCTTGTTTTGCATCAGGTCTGGCACAGGGAACAGCTGAGGCTGTTCAGCACAGAACCAGGAGGAACACAGAAACAGGGAGCTGTGTCCTGGTGCTACCAGGAGAGGGGAGCCAGCAGGTTTGGGAGAGGCTGGAGGAGAGCTATATAGGTGTGGAAACCAATGCCCAGTGGCTGTCCATGTCACTGAATGTCCGTGGAGACTTGAGGCTCTGGCAGCTCCCAGGAGCCATGGTAGGTCCTGCAGTGGGAACTCCAGCCCTGGGCAGGTCTGGCAGTAACACCCCAGCTCACAGTGGTGCCACATGCTTATGGCACAGCAAGGGGGATGGGCACCGAATCAGAGGAGAGAAACACAGGTTTCCACTTGCTGTTGTGTTAGAACTCAGTTTGGAAGGGTAAATAGTCTCATCAAAAATATATCAAACTATGCTTGTCTGCTCTTCTCCCATCTCATCTCATCATCTCATCTCATCTCACTCACCTCATCTCACCCTACCTCACCTGTACATCCTGCCCTCAGGACACAGACACTTCCCAGCTGTGGTTGCCCAAGCCAGACTGGAATAAGAGCCTCATGTTTAACCTTCTTATAATCAGGGCTCTCTCCTTCTCCTGCTTATGAGTATTTGATGCTGATTTGGTCAGTGATTATCGGCACAGAGAGAGATTTATCTTCCCTTTTCGCCTTCCTGTAGGTTATTTAGGAGTCTGGCAGCCCAGGAATAAACTGATAGGCTGGTACCTGCACACTGCCTGTGACAGGGAGCAGGCAGGGAGCAGGCAGGAGCAGAGACAGGCTCTGGGCACTGCCTGCTGCTGTGTACCAGCCAGCAGACCTGAACCAGCAGGAGAGGTGACACTGTGTGTGACCCAGAAGCTAATTCCTAACCCTCTCCTTGCACAGAGCATGGGGGAAGCAGGGAGAGAGCTGCATCTGCCACGGTTTATTCAGGGTCATGTCTAAAGGAAAGTCAGATGGCAACAGAACAGCAGAAGAGCCCTAGGCCAGCAGGATCTGTTGTTCCAGAAGGAGCCCAGCTGTTCTGCGCAGTTTCTGGAGCTGGCTGCCAAATCTCTTCACATGCTGATGATGCTGAGATCAGGAATGAGTCCCCACACAGTTGCCACGGGTGCCAGTCAGGCAACTGTGGCTCAGCTTTGCTGTGTTTTGGATTTACCTAGAACCCAGGGCAGGATCATCCACTCCACGATGGTGGGAGGTGGCCCCTGCATGTGAAGGTCGGTCCTGACGATGTGCTGCGACGCCAGCAGGAGCATGAAGAGGAAGGTCAGGTAAGAGCCGGTGTGGCAGATAAACTTTATAAATGGCTTTTTAATGAACAGTCCCAGCCTGCTCTTCGGTGCAATCAGGTACGCCACGGACAGCACGGGAAAGAGCAGTCCAATGGTGACACAGGTCAACAGTTTTACTGCCCAGTGTTTCCTCCTCCATCCTGGGAAACCATCGTACCAAAGTGTTGCTAGTAGCTGCTGGCAGTTTGGCTGAGCAACAAACTGAGGAGGAAAAAAGAGAGAAAGACTATTACTGATTGGTGCTTCATGTGCACTCCCCCTCACATATGTGTTAGAGCCCACACAAAGCCTCATAATACGTTCAGGGCCAGCTATGGGGTGGAAAAGCGTATTTTGGAGACAGAAGGGAGAAAGGAGGCAGATTTCACTCTTATTTTTCTATATAAGATTTAAGATTTCTTCTCGCAGAAGAAGTATTATTTTTCTATTTGAAACATCCTTATGTAGATCAGCCACTCACCACACAAAAACCTCGTGCAAAAGTGACACCGTGAAAATTTACTACAAGCTGTTTCTCTCCCCATGTGTTCGAGCACGTTTCTTTTCAGAACGTTTCAGGTTTCGACTGCCTCAAACAAAGCACTGTCAGCATCTTCAAGAAGTGACTAAAAGATGAGGCAGGAGGGAAAAGGTGTAAACCTCTGAGGGTGTGTGTGTGTGAGAGAGAGAATGCCTCCAGAATTGAGGGGGGTGCTGCACGTGGCTCTGTGCAAGGAGGCCACAATAAGTGTGTGTGGGCTGGGCATGAGGCAGCGATGTGAGGTGTAGCCAGGTGACATCTGCTGGGAAGCAGGACAGCACATTTGTAATCAAGCCTCGCTATTCAGGAAGAGAGCAGCTGTAAAATGTAGGAGATTAAGTGGAGGCCAAAAGAAATCTTTGATCACAGCACCAGAAGTGACACTTGGGAGTTTACTTTCACTCTGTAAAAAATAGCATTGTGATGGTGATTTACTGCATCTCAGTGAGTCCACACCAGACATGCTCAGGTTGCACCGACTTCAGACTGTTCTGATCCCCAACAGCCTCTGGGATTTCAAACTCAAGCCACAATATTTCTGCCCTATGCCAGAAGGCTTTATGTTCCTGACTATACCTGGACAGCCCCGTGGTTTTCAAAGCTTTTCAGACCCAATATTGGGAAGACTTTCAAGTGCAGTTCTTGGAGCAGTCTATTTGAGCAGAACACTGTCAGAAACATGTTCAAAATGATTAAACCAAGGTCAAGCAAAAGGAAAAATTAGTTGCTCAGTGTGATGAAGTCATTCACTTCTGTAAGTATTTTTAGATTTTGTTAATATATTTTATATATTATAACAAGATGTTTGTATTAGAAACAGACCACTTTTGGACTGGGCAGTTCAAATACACAGAATGACCCAAGTTAGCATTGAAAATAAGATCTCCAAGAGGACTATATGGCATTTATGAAGCTGGATTTTTATGTGTTATTACAACAATAAACTTCTGATGACTTCTGCATCTAGCATACAAGTATGACACTCTGTCCCAGAGGGCTTTGGGAAAGAATATCAGAAGAGGGTGTGATTTGGAATCAACCTGCACATGCATGCAGCAGAAAGTGGGCAATAGCTGACAGGGTCTTCAGAAAAAGCCAAGACCTTTTAATGATCAGAAAAATGTCATTGTAGCATTTCCACACTTGGGGACAGTGATTATAAAATCACAGAATCACAGAATGGTTTGGGTTGGAAGGGATCCTAAAGCTCATCCAGTGCCACCCCCTGCCATGGGCAGGGACACCTTCCACCAGCCCAGGCTGCTTCAAGCCCCATCCAACCTGGCCTTGGACACTTCCAGGGATGAGGCAGCTTCTCTGGGCAGGTTAAAGAAACAGTTCTACAGAAACTAAAATCATCAAGCCTCGATGGCTGTTTGGTTGGGTTTTAATCTCTGATTTCATAAGGGTCTAGAAGAAACAGAAGGTTAAACTGCTCTATCTTCTCATTTAAGATCCCAAACAGGAGCTGTTACTGGATGTGTTCTGCACTGATTTACAACTCCTGCTTCTCTGACATGAGGCACAACTCTTTTTTCTTTTTCTTTTTTTTTTTTTCCAGGAAGAAAATGTTATAAACACATTTTCTCTTTATCACATATGATAGAAAGCTCTAAGGGGAGAACAAAACTGTTTTTCCCTTGAGTCAAAGTCAAAGTCATTTGAGAAATCAAATGACTATATGTTCCTCTGGTTGCTGTGCAACTTGCAAGCATCTTAAAAGTGCCTCTTCTCTGCCTAATGGCTCATTTCTAAATTCTCTTTCTCAGTTGTATCTGATGTTAGTTCTTCAAATGGAGAGAAATTCACACATCATGAAAGAGCAGCTTTAAAGAGCAGATTGGCAAAAGGGAATGGAAATGGAAAAAGCCATCAAGTTTTCCGATCAAGCCAGTCCCAACCTCACTGAAAATGGCCCATGGGAAATTTAAGCATACCACAGAAAGAGGCTCTCCCTAATGTCCCAAACCATCAGATGCTGTCTTTATTAAAGACAAGGCCAAGCACTTACCACTATAAGTTTTATTAATTTGCATTAGTCCAACTTACTAACTACAGATTTAAAATCAGTAAATATTGCTGCTTAAATCTCCAGCAGTGCAGCTGGATAGAAAAACCAAAAATTTCCAGTTTGCAGAAACACTGGAATTATGAATTATAATGAAGAAGTCAACTAAACCATTGGTGTGCTGGCTAAAGAATTGATTGCTTTTTTGGTAACTTTCCTTTCCTTGTTACTTAGACTAAACCATCAAATTCATTTACTAAACTAAACCACTGAATGTTCAACTCATTAAAGGTTGTCTAGGATTCATAGCACTAAATCAATGCACATAAAATACATGAAAAAGCTTAGTTACAGCCCTTCTAAGCTTGAAGTAGCCTGAAATCCTAATAATATTGTGGAACTTTTGTTATCATCCATCATTTCAAATTTCTTCATAAAGTTAAGGAAATTTCTTCAGTGCCAATAGCAGAACTGAGGTTTGGAAAAGCAAGTTGACGTCTTCAACACTAGACCAAGGCCTTTCCTAAGTCAAAGTTTAGTATGAGCCTATAAGTATGGGCCCAAATATGTTTTCTCACCTTTTTGCAAAGCCTTTCATGTGCCATAGACAGAAATAGTGCATGTGCATATCACAGCCTTTTATCATTTCACATGAATGTATTGTGTGTGACAGGATTTGGTATCAGTTAAAGCATCTGCACAATGAAAAGCAGAGATGCTGATAATTTAAAAATCTGCTTATTGTCCAGTTTTGTAGATGGTCCAGAATGAGAGGCAAATGTACTGCACCAGGAGCTCTGTTTGTTTAAGAGAATATGTGACTACAAACCACTACTTCTCCAATGCTTAACAAGCACAGTATCGAGCATTTTTTCCAGGGATTGCTGCATTACAGGAGCCTCCAATCTCCATTAAAACAGCAGCACAAGACACCATCCCACGAACATGACAGAGAATGTGCTGACAGCTGAATTAATGAAAAGAGATGCCTCCAAAAGGTGGCATTTATGCTCAATTCAGCTAACGTAGGAACTAAACGTTTGATGCTGTCCTTGTTTGTGCTGTGGCAAGAGTTAATTTCCTTCACAGTAGCTGGTGTGGGGCTGTATTTTGGATTTGTGCTGGAAACAGGGTGGGGATGTTTTTGGTCCTGCTGAGCAGCACCTGCATGGAGCCAAGGCCTTTTCTGCTTCTCCTACAGCCCCACCAGTGAGTCGTCTTGGGGGTGCCCAAGGAGGGGGGACACAGCCAAGGCAGCTGACTCCAACTGAACCCAGGGACAGCCCAGACTATATGTGTTCATGTTGAGCATAGAAAACTGGGGGAGGAGGAAGGGGGGGAGATGTTTGGAGTGATGGCATTTGTCTTCCCAAATCACCGTTCTGTGTTCCAGAGCCCTGGGGATGGCTGAGCACCTGCCTGCCACGGGAAGTGGTGAATGAATTCCTTGTTTTGCTTTGCTTTCATGCTTGGCTTTGGCTTCATCAATTAACCTGTCCTTATCTGAACCAATGGGTTTTATCACTTTTCTGATTCTCTCCCTCATCCCACTGTGGGGCAGAGAGCGGCTGCGTGGGCCTGAGTTGCCAGCTGGGATGGAATCACGATGGATGCTCTGAAGCCCACGGTATTGCTGGCACAACATTGTCCAGGGTGCTCCCCACTTGTAGACAAGCCTGCAGATGCATTTCTAGAGGAGGTAATCCCAAAAGCTATCTCCTTCTCCGTGACCTGTCCAGCAGAACCCGTCCCTAGCTGAAGATACAGTTTGCTGAGTAACTGGGAGACAAGATGCAACTCCGAGTCCTCCTTGTGAGTACAGCACCCCTGTGTCACCTGGGAGCAAGGTGCTCTGTCTCCTGGCCTCTGAAAAGGGGGATGAGTATCTTTGCCTTTCCAAGAAGTGAGATCAGCAACTCCAGTCATAGCTGTGAAGCACTCTGAGGGTAGAGACTATTGTAGTACAAAGTCTTTTATGTTCTCTCTTTCTTCCTGTCTTGCCAGGGTCTTTGGCTTGCAGCTGGATCATGCTATTAGAGAACTTAATCTTCAGTGTTCATCATACTCATTGCCACCTAATCCTATACCAAGGAGAAAATTCGTAAGGGAAAAAAGCAGCTGCTGGATGGAGTGTCTTTTTCTTAATAACTAATCTTTACTGATATTTTTAAGTCACCTAAATTCTTATTGGGAATTAAATGCTTTCTGCATGCTCTGCCATTAATATAAATATCAAACACAGAAATTATGTTCCACCCCCCTCCCCTTATCTATGGGGAAATCCCTGATCTCTCATAGTCATAAGTAATTTAGGATCAGACACAGATGGGCTGAGATATGAATGCCTCAGGGAGCAACTGAAATAGCTCCCTGATAGACATCACAGGGGCTGAGCACAGTATCTCTCTGCCTTTATTCTGATTATCCTGACGGCTGCCAACAGCCTTTTCTGTTTGGAGTTTGTTGGAGTTCTTGTCTGTACTCTTGCTGTGGATGGTGAGAGTGAACGCTGTTCACAGATGAATAATCACTAATTTGTAACTGCTGAGCCCTGTGCTAATAAGCAGGACAGAGTTTTTCTATCAGTCAGCTACACCAGCTCCCAGGGAGGTTCCCACTGAGAGCCAAACACGGCATGGGAGCCATGGAATTAACTTCAGTTCCCATCTCACA